GATTAGGCCCCAGAGCAGGGGACTGAATTAGGCCTGGGGCTGGGAGTTTTTTGATTCTTGAGGTGTTGTGAGAGCATTGACCTTTGCAGTTTGTTGCTTATTAGGTCTTGCTTTGCAATGATTGGCAGTATGACCGGGCTTTCCACAGTATAGGCAAAGTTTATTCTTGAATCGATGCTCACGTTCTTCAGTTGTAAGAGGAGCAAAGCGAGGACGGATAGCATCCACTTCCATTGGGACAGGAGTGAATGTGCTGGACGGGGTAAACAAAGTGCGAGTGGATTGAGTAGTGAAGGATCTAGAGTTGTTGTTACGTGGAGTGGTAGGCTGGAGTGTGTTGACTGGAGTGACACCTCTCTTACGGTTGAAGAGTAGGTTGTCCCAAATGATAGACTTGTTGATGAGATCCTTGAGAGTCTTGAAGTCATTTGGTGTAAGAATCTTATCCTTCACATCTTCCTTCAATCCATCAAAATAGGCATGGCGGAGCGCCTCATCATTCCAATGAAGAAAGGCTGCATGCTTTTCAAAGAGAGCCGCATACTCTGATGCTGACTTGTTTTGCTTGAGTGTCTTGAGTTTGTGACGTGATGTCTCAATGATGTCGGAATCACCAAATGTCTTTTCAAATTCCTTTTTGAAAGCTTCCCAGTTGTCAACCCATTCAGGACGAGTTCCAGTATGGTTCATAGCATGAGGCATGTACCACTGATAAGCTTCATCCTTGAGGAGATTTGAGGTGAAGGCAATCTTGGATTGATCAAGAGCATAGGTGCGGGGCTGGGTATTGAAGACTGTGTCACACTTCAAAAGAAATACCAGAGCTTCATCTTTACGGCCACTGAAGGGCGGTGGTGAAGTTATCTTTGGTTCCTTTGTGAAGGTGGGAGTGGAGTGAGAGTGAGAGTGAGAGTGAACCTGTGCATTAAGTAGTTCTTGTTCAAGATGGATGATGCGGGCTTGCATCTCCTGGAGGATATCTTCAGCAGAAGGGATGACTTGGGGTTGGATGTCAGGAGTAATGGGGATAGGGTCTGACATAATCAATTACTTAGCTGAAGTGTTTATACATTATTGTTTTGTTTTATCAAATTCTAATTGAAGACCAAAATGTTTTCTTAATTTCTTTCTCAAACTGAAGTGAAAGATGTACTATAGTTGTTTCTGTTTATTGAAGACCAAAGTGTTCTTAGTAGTGTTGAAGTTGATGATTGTTTCTTGAAGCTGTTTAACAAGGGTATAAACTAGACCTAAAGAGTAGTAGACAAGCAAGGACAAAGGAGTGAGTTCTTGATACTGTCAAGGATACTGCCCACCCTGGGACAGAGGACAAAGGACAAGGGGACAAGGACTAGGAGTGACAAGGAATATACTTAAGATAACAAGACTGAGTCCAACAAGGAATGGGACTGTGACCCAAGGAATGTCTCTGGCTTGTCTTACAAGGTTAGAGGAACTGGACTGGACTCCAAAAAGGGTGGCAATGGAAATGACTTTTGATCAAGAACTAAAGAAGAAGTATGTAAAACTATGAGGGGTTTATATCTATAAAACAGGTGTTCTACCAGGTGGAGTCGTCCTGCGTAGGAAACCGTCGTAATCCTCGCCTTCCCTACTGTTTTCTAACTCACAGCAACTGACTGCGCCCTGTTCTCGCCGTGCTGCATATAATACGCTGTTGACTGCACGCAGAAGTACGCATGACGACGTAAACCATACGTTTGCCTAAAATCTAACTAAACTAAAGTCTTGGGTCTAATGCCATACCAGGCATACTAACTGGGGATAACATAACTAACCAAAGGTTCAGGTCTCTTGCCTCAAAGGCATCAGAGCAGAACTAAAACATGCGGAAACTGATACTTGTGATTCATGACAAGAAGTACGGCAAAGTTAGACGGAGTTAGGCTAGGTAGGGACAATGAGAGCAGAAGTACGGCAAAGTTAGACGGAGTTAGGCTAGGTAGGGACAATGGGAGCAGAAGTACGGCAAAGTTAGACGGAGTTAGGCTAGGTAGGGACAATGGGAGCAGAAGTGCGGCGATGTTAGGTGGAGTTAGTCGAAGGAGGAAGAGGATGGCCGGGGACTCGGGGAAGTTGGATGAAGTGCGTTGAAGTACGTCAAAGCGTGAGAGGGTTGGATGAACGTCTAGGAGGAATAGATAATATTAGCTGAGAAGATTGCTGAAGCTCTTCAGCGATCCTTGATTGTTGTCAGTAGTGAAAGACAGATAGAGATAGCTATGTACAAATCGAGATACATCGCCATCAGTAGAACAAAACCCCAGTTGGAGTAACTACGCCGAAGTACGCCGTAGTTACACTCCTTTCAACGTCTGCGCCCTCCCGGTTGGGTGAGACATCAACTTAGAAGCGTCAAGTTAGCCGAGGTTTGTCGACCGTCGGTCTGTTAGAAAGTAGTTGTTCGACGGCCGTGACACGTCTGCACTGTTCAAGAATTATGGCAAGAGTATACATTAGGTATCAATGGTCGACCTTCCCCCCAAAGTCAGTACGAAAGCAGCTCTGATGGTCTAAAGCAAGCTAGTGAAACGGAGCAATGATTTTATCGAAGGTGTATGAACATTATCCGTACAGTCAAAGACTTAGCAGGTGCCCGAGAAGTCAATGGAAAGGAAGCAGCAAAGTTATGGGATGTTCATAGACAAAGTTTACAAAACCCGTCACTAGATGCTTTACAAAACTGCTTAAACAAAGCATCTCCAATAGATAGACTTTCTATTTGATTGTTGTCATATGTATGTATTATTGACCTACTTCCCGTTGATTCTTGCCAACTTTTGCCAACTTCTGCCAACTATTGCCAACTTTTCTCGTATATTAGAGATATGAAAAACAGGCGTAGTATGACATCCAAAGGAGGGTTTAAAGATTTTCCTTAGCAACAACCTGCAGGAATCAGTGTTTCGGTTCCATAACCATGTACGATATTGTTGGCTTGTGCGTAATTGAAACAGTGTGAGACAGAGTACATTATGGCCCATTCCCATCAATTAGCGTGAGTAATTTCTGCTGATTGGTCACTGTCTCAGTATGAAACATGAATCCTTGAGCTGTTGTCAAAGGTAGACGTCCTTTCGTTGTGAGGTTTTTAGCAAGATAATTTTTTTTGGCTGTCACATATACAAGGGCACCTCTGACAGTTCTTCCCCACATCTTGCAAGTTTGTTAGCCGTTACATTTCTAAATTTTGAATATTGATTAAGATGTCTGATATAACGGATCCTATCACACCAAATCAACAATATTTGCCTCGAAACTTACGTTGTGGTGCCCGACCTGGTTCTGTGCCACTTGGAAATGCCTCTGGGTCTGGCGTTGGAGTAGATTTGGTTTGTTCTGTTGGCTTACAAATGGCTGCTACAATTGGTGGTTAGTTTGATCATTTTTGTTAGCAAAGAGTTGAGTAAATGCAGGATCCAACTCTCAGTACTCTTGGGAGTCCGGTGCTCCCTTCAAGTTGCGGTATTGGCCCGAAGCAATAAATTCTTCAATTGAGAAAGTTCCTGCGGCATGTAAGGGAGCGAAACTGGGTGTCATTGCTGGTGAATCTTCGAAAGTCAGTCTTTTACTCTTAATAGTGTTGTTTTTAACAGAATTAGCTCAAATCATATCGTTAAGCATACAATCGTGTAGTTTCGAACAACAGTTGGCTCAGAACCAACGAATTCCAGTGTAATCAGTGTAAAGGTCGTAATGACCACAGTAATACGTGTGCTTTAGGGTGTATTACCCTTGGACAGATCCCAACAGGCGCTTGCGCCGAATGTATCGCTATGGGTACAAGCAATCGGTGTGAGTTTGTGAAAAAGGCAGAAGAAGACTTAGATGATCGTACTTTGTTCACGAGTTTGAGAGAGAAACTTGGAATTGTAGAGGGCCTCGAACAACAGGTAGAATTGGCTGGTGAGTACTTAATTATCTTTCATTTGGTTAGAGCTAACAAGGTAGTAAAACATGAGTATGTCTTGCCTGCAATCGGTTTGTTGTTGTCACGGCCGTCGAGCAACTTCTTCCTTATAGACCGACGGTCGACGAACCTCGGCTAACTTCACGCTTCTGAGTCGATGTCTCACCCAACCAGGAGGGCGCAGACGTCGAAAGGAGTGTAACTACGGCGTACTTCGGCGTAGTTACTCTAACTAAGGCTTTGTTCTATTGATGGCGATGTATCTCGATGTATAGCTATCTCTATTTGTCTTTTACTACTGACAACAATCAAGGATCGCTGAAGAAGTTCAGCGATCTGTAAACTATCTATATTACTCCTCTCTTCTCATAGAACGTCCCTCAACTCCTGCACTGCCTCACGCTCAGTCCTCTTCGTTCAACTTTGCCGTACCTCGCCGTATCCCCGATATCCTACTCCGCTCACCTCGACTAACTTCGCCTAACTTCCCCTGTTCTGCTCTCCCTCGGTTCCCTTCCCCTAACTTCGCCGTAGTTCTCCGCTAGGCGGGGTTATCGTGACAAATACCCTCTTGGTTCTCGTAACTTCGCCGTAGTTGGTCTCAGTGGTTCGAGTGGAGGTTGGTGGTGGTGAAAAGGAAGGTCGGTGATGGTGAAAGGAGGGTCGGTGATGGTGGTTGTCAGGGATGTTACGACGTAGTTCGTGACAGTTGTCACAAGTACAAGGAATTCGTGAGCGTTTGTCCACTTTGATTGCCACCTACTCGCCCGATATGGCTCCGGAAGACGCTACCGCGAACGATACTCCTCACAAACGTAAACACGCAGGAAAGAACGTGGGAACTAGTAGCACTGGGGAGTAAAGGTCAGTAGGATGTGTATGCAGTCTATAGCGAACACGAAGTAGCAAGCGATGAAGTTGCGATCGGTGGCCGCATGAGTCACGATTTCGCTGCATTCGGTTATCGACATGATACCCGACTGACTCAGGGTACATGTCGTATAACAATTCATCTATTCACATTCCCCCTCCTACTATCGTCGGCCATAGGCTGGCGGAAGTGAGCAACATGGCGGGAAAAGAAACGAAACCCAACATCCAGGGGAAACCTTCCCTCATCGCAGCTGCTCAATCTCAGGTCGCTGCTCAAGTCTCTCAACCCCCCACTTCTCCTCACAACCGTTCCATCAGCCATGTGGGCCCTATTGGGGCTTCACAGGCTCTGCGGCCTCCCTCACTTCTCTCCTCAGCTGTTTCCCTCAGTCGACCAGGGGGATCTGGAGTGTCCACAGCCCCCTTCAACGGGGATGCTTCGGTTCCTAAGATGAAATTCAAACCTCGCGTTCCCGCCAGGGTGAAATCGTACGTCCCTCCCCACTTAAATAAAGATTTTGCTAATAAAAAAGGGAGGTCGATGTCAAACCCGTGAGCTGAACCGAGTATCATCAACTGACCGCTGACAGGTTAGATCGCCCCGGAACCGTCGACCACACGAGGTGGTTTCAGAGGTAGAGGTCGGGGTATGTCGAGGCCGTATGGACGATCACGTCCTCCTGAAACGGCAAACATGTCCGTGGCTGCTGGTCCAATGGGAGGAGGGAGACCTGTTGCTTGTATGTGTCTAAAAATTTCACGCATCATGAACTGACGTCAAGCGTCTGGAGGAGGTGCAATCAAACCACGGGGAGGCTCATCGTTCAGGATGGATTTCCATAGTACAGAAGTATACTCCGACGATGAAGAAAGGACAAGAAGTGGGATTCAAGTCATCGATATCGATGCTGTTTCTGGTTCTCATGACTCTGCTCCCACATCTCTTTTTCGTGATCGATTGGTGGACGGTGGTAAACTGGGTGACCAGAAATCATCGAAACGGGGGAAAGGGAAGAAGAAACAGGATGATACAGGTTCAAAAGTGGAGAGTGTGAAAGATGAACCTATGTCACCTTTGACAAGGCGAAGGGAGTTAGAGGGAAGGGAAGACGATACAATGTTGTCAGAAGATGAACAACAAGATCGTGATGCTCAAGGGAGACGGTTGAGGAGAAGTCCTCAGAGTGGGGAATTGGAGGTTAATGAAGCTCAGGCAGTTGATTTAAGTGAGAGTGATTCGGAAGAAGAGGAGTTGGATATGGAGGGCGATTTTGTAGAGACGCCAGGTCATGTAAGCTACTTCTGACTTCCACGTTTGCCCCTGCTCTCGACCTTCAAAGAAAAATCACCAGTATCCGGTGACGGCACCGATGAAGCGAGCTGACATCTTAGGATACACCCGACGATAGACTTTTCATGTTCCAATTCCCTCAAAAATTTCCAAGCTACGTCGGATTGGGTCCTATCGATGTCAGTCAAGATGACGTAAAACCCGATGTCAAGCCTACCGCAGCAGCTCTGCGAGCCCAGAACAAGCTATTCCCTCCTCCAGAGGGGAGAGTGGGGACGATGGTAGTATACAAAAGCGGAAAGGTCAAATTGGTAATGGGTGATGATATCGTCATGGATGTGAGCATTTCCTATTTCGAGACCCTTCATGACTTTTAGCTGCGAAGGCATTGGCTTCGTATCGGCTGCATTCAGGGACGAATTGAGTTAACTTTTAGGTCACTCCGGGTGCAAACGACGCTTTCATCTCCCATTTGGTGCATATGGATAAACCACACCGTACTGCAGCCGTCCTTGGGGAAGTATACAGACAATACTACGTTACCCCCGACGTCGACGGTCTGCTGGATCAACTCCATTTGAACGGTGGCGAGACGCCCGGCGATAGATTAGTCGAGGCTAGACGTCTCCAAAGAAGTGTAAAGCAAGAACGGGGGTTGGTCAAGATGGAACGGGACTAGTTGAAAAAATTGGGATAAGCTTGACGGTGCAATAACCAATCGGATGGCACTGATCCTTCCTTTAGAAGTACTCATTCCTTCCTCACCACGTTCCCCATCCAGGAGAGAGATGATCCATTCTCACTAAGATCCGAGATGAAGGCCTCGTTTGATGTGCGACGTCATGGATAACGGGTGACGAGGTAAGATGGCCAAGACTGCTCAAGAAAAATCACATCCTTTCTCATTCTCCACTCATCATCTCCTTTGATTTATCCCTAGCGGGGAAAGAAAGATAGAATGCGTTTCGCATGTTCTATGTTGTTCACACTCTTTCAAAGAGTCTCAACCCCGATCGTCTCTTTCTCACCTTTTTGGGCGACCCCTTCTTGACTTTTTTGATTGGTTGCCTAGCACTTACAGTACCTCTGACTTCTCACCACTCCTAGTCGTGAAAATAATCCATTGCATCTCGAATCCCTCAATAACACCAGTTCATCAATTTGTCGGACGAGCAACATATCCTATCATGTCTACCGTACTTCCATTCCAAATACCCGTCGTCCATCCCTCAAAACGCCCCGCGACACGTTCCCCATTGTCCATATCTGGGGCCAACAGGGTGGTTCCCGAGGGTGTCCCATTCGACCAATCTCTCAAAGTGGGTAATGAAGAACCTCGACTTTCTCCGTCTCACTCTGGACCCGCCACAGCATCCATAGCGACACTTCGATTACCCGATGCTCTAGTACCCCCCGACCATTCCCCTTCCCTACCACGACGTATCTCTACCACACCTATGTATTCACCAATCGATCCCTCCCTCCCTGATCGAGGTATCCCAGATATAGGAGGCTCAGTAAGCGCGACGAACGGCACTACCGATGCTTCTTCTACTGTTCGTCCCAACCGAATTCCATGGTTTCCCGCTTCCGTGAAAAATCTACCTAGATCAGGAACACCGGGAATGCCCCCACTGTTGTTATCTCCAGAGGAACATCTACCGTCAGTGTCATTAGGGGGTTTGGCGGCGTATGGGCGATTGCTACAAGCTCTACCTTCTTCCGAATCGGACAGTGATTCAGGTGTCAGACGTAATTCGGATCTGAGTAATTATGGCGATAAGATGGCTATGCCTGAGTGCGTGGATGAACTCATTGTGGAATGTTGTGTAATTTGCGGTAGAATAGGGGGAAGGGATGAAATTGGATTGCGTCAGACTCAAGCTATGGGAATTCAATGGATCTGTATATATGGATGTAGGAGACCTTCGACGGAGAGTAATGTTGAAGAACCCGTAGAAAAGGACGTGGGTCACAAGGAAAGGGAAAAGGAAAAGAACAAAGAAAAGGAAAAGGAAAAGAAGAAGGAAAAGAAGAAGGAAAAGAAGAAGGAAAAGGAAAAGGAAAATGCACCAGTATTGAGGGAAGGAGACGGAGAAGGGGGAGTGAGACCTCTCGAACATGCTAGATGGGAGTCGGGTCATGAGGAAAGGGAAAGGGAAAGGGAGAAGGAAAATGAAAATGCACCGGTGTTGAGGGAGGGAGACGGGGAAGGGGGAGTGAAACCTCTTGAGCATGCTAGATGGGAATCGGGTCATGAGGAAAGGGAAAGGGAAAGGGAGAAGGAAAATGAAACAGTACCGGTGTTGAGGGTGGGAGACGGGGAAGGGGGAGTGAAACCTCTTGAACATGCTGGATGGTAATCGGGTCATAAGGAAAGGGAAAGGGGGAAGGGAAATGAAAAAAAAAATGCACCGGATGTTGAGGGAGGGAGACGGGGAAGGGGGAGTGAAACCTCTTGAACATGCTAAATGGGATAAGGTCAAGGAGGTTCAATGAGAGTGTTGGTGACACGGAGTTTGGGGTTGAAGGGGACGACGAAAGTGTAAAATGATTTGACGTGTCAATCATTGTAAGTATATGCATTGGAATGACCCGTTACCGCTGTTGACATTGACCGAATGACTCTATTGACGACCTTGATAGTGGTCCTGTATGAACAAAACTCTACACTGAGTAGATAGGTAGGAGACTGTCACACCACGGTACCAACACCCGCCTCCAAGCGCTGACCACGTCTCTATCACATCAATATTGTCTCGCTTTCTTCCTTGACTTTCCACCCCGAACATCCGTATCATTCCCCTCTTTACCCTTTGCATCACTTCGATGACTACTACTACCATGTCCCTTTGTCAAACATGTTCATCGGAACTCTCCCCAACTTCAAACCACTACCTCACACCATGTTGTTCATCCCCGATCTGTACCCCTTGTCTGATCCGACATCCTCGATTGAAATCCTACGTCCCATGTCTACGCTGCGGACCGATTTCCACCAACGTCGCATCTAGTATATCGATAACAAAACTAAACTCGAAATCTGTTTCACCATTACCATTGAATGGGACGGGGGAAGTGATGTTTGAATTCCAGGATGATCTGCCTTCGTACGATTTGGCAGTGACGACTTCTTCATCGAAATCTCTATCTCACAATCAAGATCCTGGACAGGTCGGGGATAGGAAAAATTCTGGACATTTGGGAAAAGTTCAGGATGCGAAGGATAGGCAAGGAAGAATTGGAAAGGTGGGTGAAGACGAAAGATCAGATCCTGAGGATGTGAATGGCTTTGATAAACGAGAAGAGAAAGAAATGGTAGAAGTCATACATCAACTCAAGAGGGATGATACGGTTTTATCCATCGCTAGGAGTATGCGGCGGATGTGAGTTTTATTTCTTTCCCTTCCTCCTTCCCCATCACTTGAAATTCTCTATCAATCGTGTCACCCCACTCATAAAC